CCCCTCTCCCCAGATGGCAGCCTGCGGCAAGTGCAGCCGGGCTGATGGCCGAGTGCTGTGATGTGCCCAGTGTGGGTACTCCGGGCAATCCAAGCCAGGACTGCTTTGCAAGTGGGGCACCCCTGAGAACTGTCTGTCCGGGGTGGGAGTCGGGTCCCTTTAAGCACAGCCCTCGGCTAGCCTGAGGCAGCAGCTCCACGCTCTAAGTCCTCATCTGATGCCCTGCCGGCACTTTTCTGGCTATCCTTAACCCCGGTTCAGGGTCCACTTAATGTGGACATGCTAGTTCGAATTAGCAAAATGCTAATTCGAACTAGTTTTTTAGTCTGGATCCGTTAGTTCGAATTAGCTTAGTTCGAATTAACTAAGTCGAACTAAGTTAGTTCGAATTAGCGCTGTAGTGTAGACATACCCTGGGAGATTATACTGAGATATTTATCTACAATGACTTGCTAAATTCTTTTCAGAGTCACTGATTTCCCATCAAGAGTCCCCCACTCTGTAGCTGTGGTCTGCACTCCTTGTTCCTAGATATATAACTACATCTGGCTGTATTAAAATGCATTCTCTGTGATGCATTATCAGGAAAGTTTACACCTATGTAACTCCGTTGGAGATAATGAAGTTGCACAGACGTGGGTGTAATAAGGGAGGCTTGGAAGACATCTCCCTCCCCAGCTTTCATATGGGGAGAGGGAGAAAGAACAGTTAAGGCCTTCCTACAACTTTTGGCAGACTGAAGAGGAGGGATGGAAAGGGATTGAGGTGTCTTACTGCAGCTGGGCTTGGCATCCTATTTCTCTCCTCTCTTCTACTCCTGCAGGCTGCTGATCACATGTTTAGCTGTTAATAGCTCTAGCAGAAGGAGACTGTTACAATTGGCCTCTGCCACTGTAGAGCTGGAGGGATGTGGATGTGCAGCAACTGTAGTTCCTTCAGGGGACAGTTATGGAAGAGCTGGAAGGGAAAGCTGGGGAGCACAGCTGGAATGGGCACTAGGAGGTAACATGGGCATTGAGAAACATCTCGGCTGTGTCTACACTGGGCCACTTATTCCGGAAAATCAGTCGCTTTTCCGGAATAAGCTGCGAGCTGTCTACACTGGCCCTTGAATTTCCGGAAAAGCAACGATGCTCTACTGTACAAAATCAGCCGCTATTCCGGAAAAACTATTCTGCTCCCGCTTGGGCATAAGTCCTTATTCCGGAACACTGTTCCGGAAAAGGGCCAGTGTAGACAGCCCAGAAGTCTTTTCCGGAAAAAAGCCCTGATCGCGAAAATGGCGATCGGGTCTCTTTTCCGGAAAAGCGTGTCTACATTGGCCACAGACGCTTTTCCGGAAAAAGGGATTTTCCGGAAAAGCAGCCTGCCAATGTAGATGCTCCTTTTCCGGAAAAACTGAAAATGGAATAGTATTCCGTTTTAAGCATTTCCGGAAATTCATGCCAGTGTAGACACAGCCCTCTAGTATGGCATAGACACTGGTGACACCTTTGGGGGGAGGCATTAATTAGGAGACAAAATGGTTCTAGGAGACACCACTGGGGAGGCAGGCACCAAGGGTATGACACAGGCACTAAGGGGCAATTATGAGGGGATAGGCACCAGGAGTAAGGTTGCCAGGTTCTTGGTTTTCTACTGGAAAGTCTAGGGGGACATGTAGGATGTCCAGTCAGAAGTCCTGGCTGGACACCAAAAATCTGGAGGAATGCTGGAATGAGGTGGAGGATGCTGCCTGCAAATGCAACACCACCAGCCCATGCCCCACTCCCTGGCAGCCTTGCCCCGAGGCTGGAGCTGGGCATCATGTCACTGACCTGAGCCACCCTTCTCAGCCAGGTCCACCTACAACCTGCATCTTGTAGGCAGGCAGGCAGTTCCAATCCAGCTCCCTAGAGGGCAGGAAAGGGTCAGAGGAGCAGAAGCAGGGGAAAACAAGTGACTGGGAGGAGGCAGGGAGAGCCTGTAGTGCCTGGTATTAAAAAATTTCTAATCCTAACCAGGAGATGGAGGCGAAGTGCCAGCCATTAGGGGGTGACACAGTCTAAGGGACAGCTCTCAGTGGAGCTGGGAAAGGAAGAAGATGATGTCAGGATATAGAGAAGGGTTAGTGGTGGGGTGAAAGAAATTAAGGTGAGTTGAGGAAATGGGCAAGTGTGAGGGGGATCTGGGAAGAGAGACTAGATGGGATTTTGGGGACAAAAGTCTCAGAAGCAAGAGGAGAGAGAGGTGACTTGGATGAGAGGGAGGAGGACACATTGGGGAATTTGTGTGAAACAGGTGAGTCTGAGAAGTTTTCACACAGAGACAAATCTGTAGAGGAGAGGAGACAGTAAGTATTTGAGCAGGAGAGTTAAAACTCACCTTAGCACCCAGAGCTTGTTACCACATAGGACAGGAACAACCAAAGACCACACCAGAGGAAGACAGGCAGGAGAAGAGCAAAGTAAACACTTTGAGATGGAGATATGTCCTAGTTTTTGTTTAAAAAGATGGGCAAAATCACTTGTTAGAACTTTTTCTTTTGGCTGCTGTGGCAGGGGTGATTTTATGGTGGGGGCATGTCTCTCCTCCTCTCCCCGGCAACATTTTGGACATAATTACTCCATTGTGGACAGGTGTGACTTAGGACAGAATGTAGGTTGCAGAACCTATATTACTGGTGATATTGGGCAAGACAGAAATGAGCTCAGTTCGACGAGAGTCCATAGTGAGTCTATGATTTAGACAGTGAGGAAAAACCCACACCTTCACTTGTAAAGGGAATTAACTTGATCTGAAGTCAATGAAAAACAGCTATTGAGCTCCAGAGTGTTATTTTTATAGGGTTTCTTTCCAGAGAAGAACCACATTCGCTCAGTCATTATGTCTATTGTGCAGTAAGCACAGGCAGCACTGTGCAGAGACCTTGCCCCATAGGCCTAGCCACCTTGAGTCATAGCACAGAACAATGTAATGCAAAATGTGCTGGTGGAGTGTGACACTCTTGTGTCATGAGTGCACCCTTTGGCTGGCTGCATATGTCTGTACTTCCTCTCTGCTTCTTCCTGCTTCGGGATACAGCAGCATCCCGGGGATGCTTTGGAGATAATGTCCTTGTTCCCTTGGGGCTTCCTTACTACAGCTCTCTAGCTGGGCCACTATGCTTCAGTTCCTCCTTTGGGGTGACTCAGTAGCTAGGCCACTTCCCCCAGTGGCTAAGGGGTGTTGAGGCAACCCAGGCCCACCCGCTACTCTGAGTCCTGACCCAGCTAAGGGGTTTTGAGGCAACCCAGGCCCACCCGCTACTCTGAGTCCTGACCCAGGGACCCTGTAGATAGCAACTCTCTGTTGTCTTCGTTCATTTAAGTTCCACTGCTGCAATAATGCCCTGCAGCATCTTTTCCTTTACCTCAGGGTTTTTTCCAAATAGAGTCCCAGCACCAATACAGGGCTCCCTCTCATTAGCTCCTGGATGTACCACCCTGTTTGGGGCTTTGCCAGCCAACTACACTCATACAGCTCCAACGAGAAGTGAACTGGCTCTGACCCAGCAGCTTTCTTTATACTAGCTTGCTGGGCCCCTATTGGCTTCTTCAGGGAGCCTGAAGGACTTCTCTACTGCTCTTTTCTGGGGCAGGGTGTGACAGAGCCATAAAACCTCCAGCAGGAGACCTTGGGACCGAGACCACTCTGTCACATAGACAGTCCTTAAAATTAAAAGAGGTCAGAGCCAGAGTTTGTATTCTGATTCACATCCAGACTCTTCCAACATCTGGGGGAGTTTGGATACGATTTTGGTTTAGCCCCCTACAAAGGAAAGAGCTGAACATAAGTATCTGAGGATTTGGTTTTGGTCCATCTTTAACCATAATCAAAATGCATCATGGAACAAATGGGTCTTTTTGAATCAGTGAAGTTAGGACTGGGTCTATTAATTGGAAGCTGTTCTAAAATAAGGGACAGCCTGGAAGAAGACTTAAAATGAAAACGAACAAATAACCCAATGGGGGATGATAGAAGTGAAACATTAGTAGGGATACTTTTAATAATGCCAGATAATATGAACAAATAACCCAAAGGGGGATTATAGAAGTGAAACATTATTAGGGATACTTTTAATAATGCCAGATAATACTGATAGTTCATGCTTTGGACTTGGCTAAATATGTGCTTTAACACGTATTGTGTAGAAGGTGTAGAATTGTACAGTGTAATATAGCTCCCTGCAAACAATGTAGGCATCCTTAAGAGAAGAGAATGATCTATTTTAAATGTGTTTAAATGGTTTAAAATATATCTTTAGGTTACTTGAGGGCATATGTAACTAAAGTGAGTCATTCATATTATCATTGAAAGAGCTCGGAGCAGCAATTCTTTGTATTTTGTGGGCAGATTAGGAAGTAAATAACATTTGGTGTTCCATAAAAATGCTACCAAATAACACAAACTAATCTTCTTGTTCTATTATGCTCCCAGAACTCAGATCTCTTTGTATATATGTCAGGAAGAGTCGGTTTGTATTGCTGTGGTCTCTCTTCTGGGAACTCTTTAAAGAGCTGGAGCTTAGAAATAGCATTTAGTCTTATGTTGTGATAAGCTTCTTAAATCAATGGTTGTCACCACAGCTGACCTAGTAAAAAAATCAATTTATTTTGCACTGAACTGTGAAATTTTCAAACACGAGACAAGGTACTTGGGATCAAATGACTGTTAAAAACCAGAGTGTAAGGCAGCACAACTGCTAAATTATGTAACCCTGTATCCTGCATGGCAAGGTTATTGGATGTACTGAACACCTTGAATTACTTAATTTTCCACAGAGGTTTCTTTAAATGCCTCGCTGTTTTATCCGCATTGAAAAATGCACTTCAGTTATAATGGTGTTTTAGTCAATTTTATTAATTTCTACTCAGACATCATATCTGGCCTAATTCAGTGATATCTAATTACAGACTAATCAAAGTCTTAACCAAAGGTTATAATATAATAATCATTATTTCAGTTTGACTTAAAAAGTGGTGATGCAATATGACCTGATGTGCCATGGGAGTGATAAACCTGTCTTTTACTTAGTGAACCTCACTAGGCATGATGACGATTACTTATTCCTCTTCCTGTAGTACACACAGAATGGTGTCTGTATCGGATACATTACATCTACAGTTGCACTTAACCTCTCTTTTCCGTTCCCCAATAACTTGGGGTTTTTCATTGGGTTGTCAGTCTGTACAAAACTTATTTGTTTAGATATTACAGGCCTCAAGATTTATACTAATTGGCCGAAGCTAATGTTATACAGGATACAAGTCTGTAGGTTACTTGCATTACTGCTGAATCTAATGCAAAGCAGAATATAATAATGAAGCAGGAACAGAATCACAGTAAATATAACAAAGGCAAACTAGTCCATTGGTTACAATCTGGAAAAGGATGTAAGAGGGAGATGAGATTAGTAAGATATATGATTGGGCGCTGTAAGCTGGAAGAGACAGGAAGCAGAAGAGCAAGTAGTAATGTGCACCAGTAGGAGAAAAGAGTTTTGATGTTATCCCACACTGTAAAGGAGCCAGAAAGAGGGCCTGGTGCTGCTACCACTACTCCAGCTGTGGCTGCTGCCCTCCCTTGTGGTGGCTGGTGTCAGAAATACATTTGGTCAGGTAGTGCGGGACCAGGTGGGAAGAGGAAGGAAGGCCTGCTGGAGACCACTGACTCCAAGGGGTTCACTACCAATCCAGGAGGTGTGGAGAGCCAAAGCACTTAGTATTTTTCAGCCATGAATAAGCCATATATTATTGCTCTGCACATGCCAAATCATAAAAACAAAAGCAGTATTTTCATACGTGGTTGGTTTTTCATTCACTGCCAAGGAAACTTAACATAAAAAAAATCAGGAATCTAAATGATGGAAAATTATTCAATTCATTGCCAATATTTTGCTGGATTTGACAATGTTACTAATCTACTAATTCGTGATCCATGAGCTGCACGGGATAACAATACAGTCTGACATTGTATTTAACCACTTGCCTATCAAGCCTGACAAACCATGACTGTGTGCTGGGAAGCTCTTGAGTTTGATAGACATAGTGTAACTCTGGGTCAGCTTTCTTTATGTATAATTCAGTAGTGGGGGTTTAGGCTGTTTAATATTTTAGCTCCTTTCAGAAAGGTACAATCCCATGTCTAAATGTTTACACACACAATAAAAATGTCATTGGTAAGCCTTTTTTTGGGCAGGTTTGTTTTTCCATCAGTTCTACGGCTTTCCTGTAAGATTACTGCAGATCCTGCAGATTACTTGCAGAGAAGTGCTTTACAAAAGCTTTTCTGAACCTGAGAATTTTTCCCTCAGACAGAAACGTCAATAAATCTGGATATAAAAAACCCATATTTTAAAAATGGTAATTAGTCATTGAAAAGTTTACCTGTGTTAAGCTGCTGGACTTGAGGACATTTTGTATAAACAAGGACAAAGTGTTAGCTCCTCAGCTGATGTAAATCACTGTAGCTCCACTGAAGTCAAGGGACCTACCCAGACTTACAGCAGCTCCGAATCTGGCTCAGTTTTTTTAGCTTCTGAGAGATGAGGATTGTCACAGTGGGGATGTGATGCAGGCAGATGATATCATAGTGTATATAGATTCTAATGTTAGCCTATTATAGATGTGCATTGTGTTGAAGGCTATTTAACACATGCTGCCATGCCTTAGTATTCCTTATGCAATTTAGCAGGTACATCCTCATGCAGATGTTTACTAAAGGCCAGACTGTGTCCTTTAGGAACAGAGCAGTGCTGGGAGTGGGGGGGGGAGGGGATGATGCCAGAAAAATCATTTGGGGGCCACACACAAGTGAGAAGGAAAAAAGGAAAACCAAACCCTCACTGACGTGGCCCCCAGCTGACCAGGGCACAGGGTCAGCTGTGCTGTCTTTGGGGAGGGGGTAAGATACCCCCATACATCCTGCCTCCTTCAGTTCCTCTGCAACCTACATGGCACTGCCTCCATCTTATTTTCTTGCGGCTGGGTAGTCTCCCTATAGTACTAGCAGTCCCTGAGCTAAGCAGAACACAGGATCTATAGACGTGTCTACCAAACAGGAGTGTCATGACAGTCAAACTGTGGTTGGCCCTGTTTGTGAGTGTATGAGATGTCGGACAGAGCAGAGGGGAAATCCCTTTCCTCTAGAGCATCCATGCTGGAGCCAAAGCTCACACACAGAGTGGTAGGGTAGGCCAGCGCTATGAGGCACAATTACAGGGGACATGTTGGAAGCAAGGCCAGGCCTGTGCTCACGCTAGCACTTGGTGCTTGTAACTGCAGAGAATGTGCTTTGAAACTCTCAGAAGGTGTGCAAAGAGCCATTACTATGCACATTCCTCTCAGCAGCCCCCAGCCATTAAGTCAGGGGTGGAGCCACTGACCCACTGAAAAATCAGTCGGGGTCTACACACAAGTGAGAAGGAAAAAAGGAAAACCAAACCCTCACTGACGAGGCCCCCAACTGACCAGGAGAAAGACACTTCCTACATTCTCTTCACACACCAGAGCCTAGGGGGGTACAGGTTAGTAGAGTTTGTGCACTCCCGCTTTATAGTGAGATGGCAGGTGGGCTGGAGTGCCAGCATGTACTCCCAAATGCTTGGGGGGAGCCCCTGCATCTGGCCCCCAGGCCTTAGGTTCCCCATCCCTGCATTAAGTGACCAGGATGGCTGAGTCCCTGAACTTTCTAGGACTATCTTTAGCTGAAGTGAATCTTACCTCACTTAATCCAATCACTTCTCACAGATTTTCAAAGCTTTTATAGAAAGTGATACAGAGGAGCAGCTACATTATTTTGCTAGCTGACTTTCTAGTAAGAGCTTTCAAACTTCACAAAAATCTCCTTCCCTTCCTTCCTTCGCTGCATCAAACCACCACATCTCTGCTCCAGCAATCACAATAGCTCTCTGGGTCTTGATCAAAACCTTGTAACTCAGTCCCAACCCTAATGATTATTTATGGTGCAGTCATAGCTGTCCATGTGACAAATGCTGTACAAACCTAGAGGAAAATGTGCTTCTTGCTCCAAGGGTAGTATAAATCTTCAATCATTTGAACCCCGAATCTTAAGGAAGTGTAATTTCTATCTGATCATTCCCTTCCTCAAACCTTCTCAGCAACAATATTTAGCTCCATTATATTTTAACAGAAGAAGATTTACCCAGCATTGCTTGGGTCCTTAACTCAATGGCTACGTCTAGACTGGCATGATTTTCCGCAAATGCTGTTAACGGAAAAGTTTTCCGTTAAAAGCATTTGCGGAAAAGAGCATCTAGATTGGCACGGACACTTTTCCGCAAAAGCACTTTTGCGGAAAAGCGTCCGTGCCAATCTAGACGCGGTTTTGCGCAAGAAAGCCCCAATCACCATTTTTGCGATCGGGGTTTTTTTGCACAAAACAAATCTGAGCTGTCTACACTGGCCCTTTTGCACAAAAGCTTTTGCGCAAAAGGACTTTTGCCCGAACAGGAGCAGCATAGTATTTCCGCAAGAAGCACTGATTTCTTACATGAGATCGTCAGTGTTCTTGCGGAAATTCAAGCTGCCAGTGTAGACAACTGGCAAGTTTTTCCGCAAAAGCAGTTGCTTTTGTGGGAAAACTTGCCAGTCTAGACCTAGCCAATAAGTTTTGTGTTTCTTCATTTAAATTATTGTTGAGGCAGGGGACTGTAGCTGAGGGGTTCAGTATTCAGGCTGTCCCCACAGTTTGGGGCCAGATGAGACATGCCTGCCCATGACAGATAAACAGAAACACAAACAGACAAACTCTCTGAGACTATGTCTACACTCTGGTATTCCAGAAAAACTCTGCCACATCCAGGGGAACGCATCTGCTCTTCTGAAATTTTTTTCAGAAGAGCAGACGTGCTTTTTTGGCATCCCTGTAAACCTTGTTTTACGAGGAAGAAGGGATGTTCTGAAAAAGGCAGGGGGTGAGTCCAACATTTGGTCCAATGTAGACGGGCCAAATGTTGGAAAAGCCTCTTCTGAAAAAAGAGGCGGAAAAAGCTACACAAATTGAGGTTTGCAGAACAGGTATATAGTAGATACCTATTCCTTTCCCCACTCCTGCCCCCTGCTGGCCAAATGGGGTTATAGCTGTCCTGGTCCCTATTTCTGGATCCTTACTGCCCCCCCCCCATAGTTATTCTGCAGTATAACGGTCCCTTCTACCAGACACCTCCCTTTCCATTTTATGAGAAACAATCAAATTCCAGGAACATCCCGTTGTCTTGGTACAATCAAACCCTGACCTTACTTTAAGTTATGATAAGAGGAAGCTGTGCATCAAATTTGGTTATTCTAGCTCTTACTATTTAGGAGGAATTCTGGAACAAACAGACTCACAGATGGACAGACAGATTCACATTTCTAAAATATGTAGAAGAATTTATGTCAAAACTGTATTGAATCTGATTTATCTAATATATGTGAATTTGCACATTAATTCTATTACTTAAGATATGCTTAATTAGTCTGTATTGTCCAATTATTTGTCAATTATTATTATTTGAGGTAATTATTCTCTTCCTTTTGAATCACAAGACAGCTAGGCTACGTCTAGACTGGCCCCTTCTCCGGAATAGTCATGCAAAGCAGGTAAGTCAGAATAGGGAAATCCGCGGGGAATTTAAATATCCACCGCGGGATTTAAATAAACATGTCCGCCGCTTTTTTTCTGGCTTGGGGAAAAGCCGGAAAAAAGCGTCTAGACTGGCGTGATCCTCCGGAATAAAGCCCTTTTCCGGAGGATCTCTTATTCCTACTTCAAAGAATAAGAGATCCTTCGGAAAAGGGCTTTATTCTGGAGGATCGCGCCAGTCTAGACGCTTTTTTCCGGCTTTTCCCCAAGCCGGAAAAAAAGCGGCGGACATGTTTATTTAAATCCCACGGGGATATTTAAATCCCCCGCGGATTTCCCTATTCTGACTTACCTGCTTTGCATGACTATTCCGGAGAAGGGGCCAGTCTAGACGTAGCCCTACTGATTTTCCCCATCTGTGATACTGAGATCAAACATTAAGCTGCTGAAGATGCTTTACTTCAAATGAGGACATTAGGAGTAGGGAATTTAATAAAATTGCCTGAAGTGTGAATGAATAATGTGGCTGGGAAACTAAATCTACAGCAATGCAACATGACTCTGCTTGGCCTGGAGAAGGGGCCAGTCTAGACGTAGCCCTACTGATTTTCCCCATCTGTGATACTGAGATCAAACATTAAGCTGCTGAAGATGCTTTACTTCAAATGAGGACATTAGGAGTAGGGAATTTAATAAAATTGCCTGAAGTGTGAATGAATAATGTGGCTGGGAAACTAAATCTACAGCAATGCAACATGACTCTGCTTGGCCTCAAGCAATTGTGTTCCTCTGTTTATTGTGGTACACAATTAAGGCCCAACTGTGGCTGAGCGCTGGTTAGAATGTACCACGAGCCGATGCCCTTCTGGCTCCTGTTAATGGGCCAGCCACATCTGCAGTCAATATATTAGTGCTGCAAAAGCAGGTGTGGTGAGAGAGGTCACAAGACTCTGGCTTTGCCATCTCTTGTCCCTCACAGCTGGATGGTCAAGGAGGGGACAGCATCTGTGCCCTTGTGAAGATCAGTGCCATTTTGTGCCTCTCAGGATCTCTGGGAAGCTTTGTGTCTTGCCTGAGGTACAATAATTCCTGGAGCTCTATGTGAGGTGGGGCATTGCCCATAGATCTTGCTAGACATTTTAATGGTTTGCCAGGGCTGGCATTAGACTTAATGGGCCCAAGGCCTGTGCTGAAGCCTAACCCCAAGTCCTGCTGCCATAGGCCAAACCTGAAGCCCAAGGGTGAAAGTAACTTCATTTTTTTACAGGTTTTGTCCAATCACAACCTGTCCCGCTCCCCCCCCCGCCCCCCCGGGGAAGGGCTAAGGGGAGGTTGGCCTTACAACAGTACCTGTAAGAAATGTAAGTGCGGGGTGGAGTGTGGGATGCTCAGGGTGGAAGGTTCAGGTATGTGTGTGTGGCTGTGTCTAGACTGGCAAGTTTTTCCACAAAAGCAACTGCTTTTGCGCAAAAACTTGCCAGCTGTCTACACTGGCCGCTTGATTTTGCACAAAAGCACTGACGTTCTACTGTCCGAAATCAGTGCTTCTTGCGCAAATGCTTTGATGTTCCCATTCAGGCAAAAGCCCTTTTCCAGAAATGTTTTTGCGCAAGAGGGCCAGTGTAGACAGCTAAAAACTGTTTTGCACAAAAAAGCCCTGATGGCGAAAATGGCAATTGGGACTTTCTTGCGCAAAACCGCGTCTAGATTGCCACGGACGCTTTTCCACAAAAAGTGCTTTTGTGGAAAAGCGTCTGTGCCAATCTAGACGCTCTTTTCCGCAAATGCTTTTAACGGAAAAACTTTTTCTTTAAAAGCATTTGCGGAAAATCATGCCAGTCTAGACGTAGCCTGTGTGTGTCTCACCTCCTGGTGCCATGTAGTCATTATTGTTGTCAGAAGGAAGTCCTGATGCAATAAAGTTTGAGAACCTTTGAGT